CAACCAGGCACAAACAAAAGCCCAACTCTAAATTAAACAGCTAAAGAAGTCCTATCTCTGTTTTATAAAATTCATTATTTGTCTTCCAGTTACCCAACCTTTATTTTTCCCAAATTGTTTCTATAAGTGAAAAAGCTTATTTGGCAATATTTAAATTAACTTCTTGATTTGGTTGAAAGTCCCTTGGACTTGATATTCAATTTGCAGGATTTTTTCTGTGTAAAGCTTTGAGATGCAAAAAGGAAGATTATGATATTTATTTTACTGTTTGCACTAAGCCAAAGTAACAGTTTATTGCAGAGCACATAGGTGTAAGTGGATAAAATATAAATTTTCATGCTGAATATTAGTTTTGTGTGAATATCCCTTCCTGCCATACAAGCTTCTCAAATATCTTTTAGTTCCCCACCTCTTTTCTTTTCTTAAGTTGTTGAAAGGGGTGTATGTATAAAACCTATGTATGTGTCCCTCCTGTTGGTCTATAATGCAGCTTCTAAACTTTTTTGAAAGCTTTCAAGGAATCTTTTAGGTTGAAACAGATGTGAAAGATCAAGTCCAACCATTACCCACCACTGCCAAGTCCACAACAATATGATGTGATACATAACCACAAAAGGTATTGAAAAAAAGGAAAACCTTTAAATTAAGATCATAGGAAGTGAAGCTGCTATGCAACAGTAGCAGTTTAGACATAATGTATCCTGTGAAACTATAATAATTAGGGAAAATGAAATAAGCTTGAAAAATTATAATGGAACGCTAGGCCCTCTGATACATTCACAGTCCATTTCTGTCATTAAATTACAAATTTAAAACATGGGTTTGTGTGTAGCAATTAATATTAGATACTGTGGTAGCATTGAGAAATTACACAGGATAGAGAAAGTTTTAATATAACACAAGGACTTCTAAGATGCAATTTTGCCTCACCAAGATAAATGAAAATGAATGGAGAACATTTGAGCTGGAGCTTTACAATCAGAAGTCAAAAAAGTGGTTTTATAGCAAACAACCAATATATTTGCTCTTTATGAACAACCGAGGTCACTTTGCCGTAGTGGTAGCCTGCTTTGCTAATCTTAGTCTCATATACAATTGCATACAGATATAGATGAATCTTTGTCTGCAGTCACTGATGTTAAATGCCAGAGTTCACATCCATTTAGCATTGAACCATGAGTTCATCTGCAGATGCCCTGAAACTCCCTTTGAAACATGATCTTAGCAATAAATTATTTTTTATAGCTTAGACATCTGTTTTTGTTACTGAAGTAAAAATCAAATTTTATTACTAAACATTTCTTAGTTTTCTCTTTTTATTACCCACAAGATGTGGGATGTGTTTGACTTGCGGTTCTGTTTTGGACTGGCCTTGGTTTTTATGTTTAGTGTGTGCTTCTAAGGGTAACAAGTTTTTTACATCTGTTTCCACAAACTTGATTTCAAGTCTGAAACTGAACCAAGAGAGCAGGAGCATCTAAACATTTCCAAGGCAGGTAGTCTTTGAGCTAGACCTGTTATCTTCTGCATCCAAGGGCCATTAAGATAAATAAAATGAGAACATCTGTGCCATAGTCCACAGCTGGTTCATATGGATTTCAAGTTGGTGGTGCTCACCAAGAGGAGTCCTAGTGCAAGCTTGAACTGCAAACTAGGAATTTAAACATTTAAATTTAAACATTTGCTCTGACAAAGTAGTAATCTATTGTGTTTTGAAATAAATTTTAAGCTGGGTGCCTGATATTTTACGGAGCACAAGAATCCCATGCAAGTTTTTGCTAATAAGTGTTGTAAGCATTGTGAAGTTAGTACTTTCTGAAGTTCCCTGATGAGCTGAGATACCAGTTGAGAACACAGAAAGTAATTTAGATTCTTGGTGAAAAGTTGTTAATTATTTCTTAACACTCAGTGTTTTCAGTTTTTAATATGCAGAAGAGCCTGAGTGTTGGAAAGCCTGAAAAATCACCATTTTTGTAGTAAATCATGACTGACAGTCACTGACAAGTCTATGCCTGAGTGTAGAGGCCTCTTAATTAGTTCAGCCAGAGTTGGGCAGAAGGCAGTGGTTTCAGGGAAGTTAATGATTAGCTGTTCTCATGTGAAATCTGTTTTTATGTACTGATTTAAGCAGCATCAGTTCAATATAAGGTGGATGCCCAAAACACAGGGCTTACTCAGTGGTTAGCCAGTTTTCATTGGGGTTTTTTTCTCCAGTTTCGTTATTCACAATGCTGCCAAGTTTACTTACCATAGCTTTTTTACCTGGGTACCATTTGACTTGTCAGCATCAAGCTTTTCCTCTGACAAACTGAATGGTGCTTGGTTTTGTTTTCTTATGCTGCAGTTTGGACGATTCACTGTCCCTCTCTAATGGCCCTAGACAGTTTTCAGTTTTGGTTCTTCAACTGTTGTGACAATTCTTTCAATTCTGTTGTAGTTGGCCTGAGCTACTGGCATCTGCTTTGGCCTGTTTCTGCTGTGGTGAAGTTAGGCTGCAGTTCAAGGGAAGAGGTTGTGTCTAAATGAGATCCCTGGGATGGGATGCATTAATCTTTCTGCTGTTTGACTCCATGAGCTGTAACCCATTGAGAAAAGTTAATTTTCCTGCCCAGAACTTTTTTTTTCTCTGTAATGTAACATTAAGTATTTGACTCCCTTAGAATCACAAGGAATTGAAAAATGCTGGGTCTGAATTATTCAATTTTCACTACCTATTAATTTGTATAGTTTACATGTCTCATCTTGTGCCTGTTTGTGGTATTTCTATAGTAATCTGCAGATCTAAACCTTGAGGAAAAGTCAGAAGGAAGCTCAGAGGTTTTGCAGATACTCTATCCCAGCATGAAAACCTAAGTAGTGCACTTTGAACCTCAAAGAGTTGTTCATTTAGAAACTCTTTTGTCTGAATTAAGGTGCATCCAAAGTGCAAAAATTAATTCTGTAAAGAATCCATTACACCAGTCATTTCACATCTGTCTTATTTTTAATGCACCTTTGCTGCTGTTCCTGCCTGACTAGAGATCAGCAAGTCAATTTCTTGTCCATTTAGGCAGTGCTTTATTATATTGCTCTGTGCTAACCTCTAAATTTAAAATACCGTGATGTGAAGTCACGCTATGCACAAAAATCAAATACCTATCAGCTTGCCAGTGTAAACCAAGCGACAGCATCAGTGTTGCTCGCTGTTTTGTACAAAGGCTTGTTCACAGGAACTAAAAGATAGGAAACCAGTTAATGGATTCCTGTGCTAACATCTCTCTGCCTATTTGATGATAGTCCAACTGACCTATAATTCTCAGCTTTCCTGGCTGCTTCCCTTTTGCCTAATGGCTTTGCTTTTCTCCTCCTGCCTTCATTACCACAAGAGTCCTATAAGACTTTGTTAATTATTAACTTCCACTCATTCATTGAAGCCTTCAGGACAAGCCACCTGAGCATCAGCATGTTACTCTTGCAGGTGGTAAGTGCTTGTGTCACTGTGTGTGCAGCACTGTGCCCAGAAAGGTGGAAAGAGCTGAGCAATGCCCAATTTTTTTCCCCCTAATAATTCTATCAATTGGAAATACTAGTATTTCTGTAGTAATGACCTAGTACCATTAGAAGATACTATTTTTTTTTTTAAAGTCCCTAGGCTAGCTGCTAAAGTGGGCTTTTTTTCTTTACTTTTCAAATTTATTTCTATAATCTGTTCATTCTAATGAATTTAGGGTCCTTGTTTTTGTTTATACCTTAGTCCTCTCTGACTTTTCTTTCACTCTTTTTCAGAAAATTAGCTTCTTACAGTAGTGTAGGGTTGCACTTTTGTTTCAGTTTCTCTTTGCAATGTTAGTTGTAGTCAGCCCTGAGCTGCAGGGGATCAGTGATTTCCAGAGTTTTTTGGGGTTTTTTTGTTGTGGTGTCTCAATGCACAAATTGAGAGGTCTGAAGTTATGAGAAGGGAAAAAAACACCAACCATATTCAAAATATGCCTAATGAGAGTGGGTGCATTCTAGGGAATTGCAGCAGCTCCTACAAAGCCTGTGCTGTTAGCCATGGTTTTGTCCTGAAGTACTGGCCGTTGCTTATTTTTGAGAAAGAAGAAGCTGAAGTCAATGGGCAAAAGCAAAAGCAGCTACTACCCAAACTTAAGTCTGGTCAAGGGGAAAACTTCTTTGAGGGAGATGCATGCACTGGAAAGAATGGAGAGTTAAATTTCTACAGGTGTGTTTGATGGTCATCTTTTTGCAAATGTTCAGTTCTCTGGGATGCGAAGAATAATTCTCAGTGTAGTCTCCACTCTGCTTCTTGCCTGTGCTGCTGTATATCTTCAGGGCCTTCCCTAGCTAATATTACACTATTATTGCCGGTGAAGCTTTGAGTTACTATAACAGTTCATGTTTTCTCCTTTAAACTGTACTATTAACATAAGTATTTCACCATGTTAGGACGGTGGTCATGATGTGCACAGCACATTGAGGCTGCCCAAAAACACTAGTTTTCTTTATTAAGCAAATGGTTTTCAGTGGTGACTTGAAAATGACTTCTCTGGAGGTCAGTATGCAAGCCTTGATTTTCTCCAAGTGCACTTTTGTGTGGTTGGATTAGAATATTGTGTGATTTTCTTGTTAAAGCAATGTGAAATGCAAGTGGAACAGTACCACTGGTATTTTATTGCAGCTTTGACTCTTTAGTTATTAAATTTATCCTGGAATATGTGTGTTTATGGATTATCTAATATGGCAGCCTTTTTCTGTGGAAGCACATTCATCACCATATAATGGCATTTCCCATTTATTTGTATTCCTAGAGATAAAACACAGTTCTGAATTACATTTTCTTTGAGTATATTTAAAAGTCACAGTGATGTATGGATCCATGTCTGTGTTTCTGAAGCAGATACACAAGAACAGTATGTCTGGAACAGATGTATGTTTGCTTTTCCAGTGTTGTATTGCATCACATTTAAGACTTTTGGTGTAAAATAATTAATTTCCGTAATCTCTTTTTTCTTTTAAAACAGACTGGAGGCCAAGAACAGAGTGCAGCTCTGGCTGTAGGTAAGAATTGAAACTTAACCTGCTTGAAAACTGCCGACAAATAAGCAAAACTGTAGTATGTTAAAGGACAGAAAATGGGACTCTTTCAATATTCATAATTTTCCCTTCAAGAACTTGTTTTCCCTCTTTTCCTTCAAAAACTCTTGAAATGTGTGGTCTCTGGGAGTTCTGATCCCTGACTGAATTTATTCCTCTCTGTTTAAAGATGCTAAACCAGGCTGCAAGGGTTTGGTTTTTGCTTGCACAGGGCCTCACCACACAGCCTGGCAAGGCTGACTTTGAAAACTCTTGACTAGAGTGGTGTGAAGTCCCATTACTTCAAAGAAAGCATTTCCATTATGCACGGAGTTAAAGTGGTTTGGCCACTTGTGTGAACTTACTCTAGAAGACTGTGCAACTTCTTGAACTATTTGAATAAAGAGATAATGTTTTGGTGGTTTTTCTCTCTGTCTCTTTAGTAAAGCTACTGTGTAGCTGAACCAGCTCCCTAATGCCAGAAACCAGTACTCTGAACCAGCTTGTGAGACTGAAGAGGTAGCACATGCTCATGTGAATGTTAGTTCTTAGTTTTATAACCTTCTGCTTGTCATCTAAGCCACTGCATAGAGTGTCTGTGTTATACTTCATGTTTACTGTGCTTTGCCAGCACTGCTGTTAATCTTCTGTCACATTGGGAAGGTAATGGTACCAAATGTGAGATAGGATTTCTTTTTCTTCTGTTTTTGATAAATCTTTGAAAAGCCTTTGAATTCTGGGGAGCTGGTTAAATGGATTTGTGTTGTGGTTGAATCCAGGCTAGATGCCAGGTGCCCACCAAAGGCACTCTGTCACTCCCTTCTCAACTGGAGAAGGGAGACAAAATACAACAAAAGGCTCATGGATTGAGATAAGGGTTGGGGGAGATCATTCACCAGTTACTGTCACAGGCAAAACAATCTCAGCTTAGGAAAATCTGTTCAGTTTGTTACCATTCAAATCAGAGCTCCTTCCCCCCACCCTTCCTTCCTTCCTAGGCTTAACTTTATCCCCAGTTCTTTACCTCCTCACCCCTCCCTGCTCCATCAGGAGAGATGGGGAATGGGGGTTACAGTCAGTGCATCACAGGTTGCTGTTGCTGCTTCCTGCTCAGGGAGAGGAGCCCTTTTCTGCTCCAGTGTGGGGTGTCCCTCCCACAGGACACAATCCTCCAGAAACTTTTCCAACATGAGTCCTTCCCAAGGGCTACAGTTCCTCAAAAACTGCTCCAGTGTTGGTCCCTTCTGTGGGGTGCAGTCCTGCAGGAGCAGGCTGCTCCAGTGTGGGTCTCCCGCAGGGCCTGCCAGGAGTCTGCTCCACCATGGGCTTCCCACAGGCTCACAGCCTCCTTTGGGCACCCACCTGCTCCGGTGCAGGGTCCTCCACGGGCTGCAGGTGAATCTCTGCTCCCCTGTGGTCCTCCACGGGCTGCAGGGCACAGCTGCCTCACCATGGCCTGCACCACAGGCTCCAGGGGAATTTCTGCTTCAGTGTCAGGATCACCTCCTCCCTCCTCTTCCTCACTGACCCAGGTTGTCTGCACTGTATTCTTGGTGTCTCTCATATATTTTTCACTTTCTCTTCTCTGTCCACAATTAATTCTGTGCCATAATTCTTTTTTTCTTCTTAAATACAATGTCCCAGAGGTGCTACCACCACCAGTGATGGGCTTGGCCATGGCCAGTGCCCATCCTGGAGCTGGCTGGCATTGGCTCTGTCAGACATGGGAGAAGCTTCTGGAAGCTTCCCACAGAGTCCCCCCATAGCCCTCCTGCCACAGCAACCTTGCCACACAAACCTAATACAATTTGTCATCAGTTTTATTGACAAGAGTAGAAAACATTTTCTAGTGCTGTGTGCCAAACTATTTGAATTCTCCAATCAGAATTATGAATTTATGGCATATAAATGTGTTACTAAAGCAGTTGTCTCCATTTTAGTGAATAATTAATGTTTTAAAATACTTACTTAGCAGAATTGCAGGTTTTGATGAACTGTCACCCTTTTGTCATCCTTAGGAGAATTTATGATATTGCTGATTCAGACCCACAGTCCTTCTTGCTTACTGACTTGTGTCTCTGGGTTAAGGAAAGAATCTAGGAACTGGGCAAGCATACAGCAATATTTTCCAAATCTTTAATAAGTCAATGGAAAAACATCCAGTGCTAGCAGCAGTAGTACCTTTTTCTTTTAATAGCTTTTGCTTACAAAGTCCTTGAGAGTGTTGTTAAAGCTGCAGTTGGAACTAGTGCAGAGTTTTGATTTACAGCATCGTGTTCATTTGCAAATTATACATTATAAAAGTCACTAAAGTTCAGGCTCTAGGATCACCGTCTTTCTTTTGTCTGCATGTGTGCACTTGGTTTTGCACATCCTTTCACACCCTCCACTTAATTCTCTACTAGAGCAATGCTGTATCTGCTCAGGAAGGTGAGAGTCATCTGGAAAAGCCAGGAAAACTCAGGGTGCGTTGCTGGCAATAATACTGCCTGCAGGAAGAAGAATGCTGTCAAGCAAACTACTTGAGCACATGGCAAATAACTTCTATTTTCTTTGAAGAAACTGTGAACCAACAGTGTTTCAGGTATTGAAGAGAGAATGTTTGTAAGTCAGGGTGGTGTGGTGTCCACTTCAGCAGAAGCTGGGGTGTCAGACTCCTGATGCTTTCAGCTTCTCTAGCTATGCCAAGACAAAGTTAGCTGCGAGATGCTAACATCATGATGATTATGACAGCATCATAAATCATCAGGGAATCACCAGTATTCAGAGTTGGGAGGGGCTGTCAATCCCTACCCAAACAACATGTAAAGAACTAGACACTATGGAAAAGTTTGGTTGTTTTAAAGAATGGGACAGACTGAACTAGATGATGCTCTTGAATAAGGTTATAACCTGTAAAAAAGCTTAAGATGCAGTAAAACCTGAACCTTTGTATGAGCAGGTGCTTAAGGAATAGCAGGAACAGGGATACCATGTTTTTGTGGTTCTTCTAGTATGTATTTTCAGATGGAGTATTTTTCAGAGCCAGATGTGATTATTAAATGTGTTCAGTATTCTTATTTCTGTTCTGCCTGCGTACCTGGTTTTCCCCAGGAACTGCTGCAAACTTCTTATGAGATGAGATGGACCTGTAGAGTTCACAGATGGACCACTGTAGAAAATCATAACTCTGCATGATATTCTGTATATTTGCTACTGATCTTAATGGATTTCAGGTTGTAGGATATCACTGAAGAATTGTGAATGTTTCTCCGTATTTCCAACAGGTGGATGAGAATTAATTGTTCTGTAATACCTTAGCCTTGCTGGGTACCTTTAGTTTGATTTTAAGGCTAAAATAAAATTTGATATGATGGGAGAAATGGAAAATACAATACAAAATTATATTTGCATGGCTAGAGACATTTGGACCAGTGAGGTCAGGTGTTTTGTTTTGGGTTTTTCTTGCTTGTTTTTTTTTTGTTTGGTTGGGGTTTTTTTGTATTTTGGATTTTTTGTTGGTTTGGGTTCTTTTCTTTTGTTTAGTTGGGATTTTTTTACACTTGCTTTCCAACAAGAAAAACTACCCAGGTTCAGTAAAAGTAATTGGTGCTGTGTCTTTTGAGGGGATCTGAAGAAGTAACTGGATTTAACAAAGATGGCTGTAGATCCCTGATCTTGCAAGGAGTCACTTTTGAAACTTCAAATAAATAAGCAGCCATGTAGAGCTCAGTTTTATCCCTGTGCCCTGCCTAATGCCTGTCTGTTTGTAACTGTTTCTGAAAGCAGATGGGATGGGAAGGAGCATCATCCTGCTACTCATCCTCTGTTTGTACCATGATCATCTTGATTGGCTTCATTAGCCTTCTGTATCCTGCAAACATACTGTGTCTGACTGGTGTCTCAGAAAAAGGAAATTCCACAGAATAATCAGAAAGCTTTCCTGAAATATGGAAACCTTCCCTTCCAGCTCCATGGTTTGGAAGGCCATTGGGCTTCCTTTCTTCCCTGATATTTCAGAGCTGCTGTGTCACTGAGCGGAATTCTCAGATGGACAGTCAGTGTCAGGTTTATACACACAAGGTTTGTGGTTTAGCGCTGTGACATTCCAGTAGAAGTCCCTTGAAATGGAAAATATTAATGGCTATTTATAGCCATCAGTTTGATGACAAGATAATTTGTCATGACCTCCTTAGTGCAGGATTGCAAGCCAAGGAACTGAAGGGATGCAACATTTTTGAAACTGAACTCGGAGGAAGCATTTTACCTGAGTGTTGCAGAGTGCTGTGGGTGCTTGTATGCCTTGTCCTGGTGCATTAGATGGCAGCACTGCCAAGGCTGTGGGATCCTCAGTGCAGCTTCATACAGCTCTGATCCTGCCACGTGTGGCAGTCTGATAGATGGGAATTCAGCTCCTCTGAAAGAAAACCATTTCCAAATCAAGGTAGGCTGGAAGAGGAGTGCTGTTTCACATGTGAAATACCAATTGAAAAACAGCACATCAACTGGACTAGTTAGGAACTAAAAACATACCCTTTCTATTTTTATTTTTTTTTTAGCATTTAGATAAAACTTTCAGGTTTGGTTTTGGGAGTTTTGGGCTTTTTAAAAAAAATTTTTATTTGGGGTTTTTCTTTTTTTCTTTATACAGAGGTGATTGGCAGGAGAAGGACTTAGCGTACAAATTATTGTTTGGTTCCAGTTTTTTTTGGAGACGAGAGCTTGAGGGTTCTTAAATTATAGGCTGAGATCCTGGAAATATGAAACTTTCTTAGTAATGTGGTAGTATAGCACAGTTCTAAAGACATGCCATCTCTCATATAGAGTGAGCAGCTTTTCTCTAAAAGAAAAAAAAAAGTGTAAATCTGCCACAACTCTCACTAAATGGTTTTCTGGTTGGTTTTTTTTTTTTGTATCTTTATGTACCTGATAAAAACGTTCCTAGTTTACTTTGAAAAAAGGCAGTCTTGGAGGTCAGGCAGTGTTGCCAGGATAATGCCAGCGCT